TTCAAAATTACAAAAATCATTTAAAACTTTTGATTACTGACAGTTGACCATATAATGTGTTTACCGTATAATGTGATTAGATGTTATTATTGTGGTTATATTAAAATTATTTTTTTAAAATAAAAACGTATTTGAAAGTCCTAAATAAATAATAAATAATTCAAAGAAATACATATCAAAATATACATTACATCCAATCTGATAAACACAAATAAACGCATTTAAAAAAAAAAAAAAATCAACTTTTTTAATTGTAAACTTGGCATGCAAAAAAGTGAAAGATAAATCATTAATCATTATATGTATACAACTAATTCACAATATGTTATTTACATATGTACAAATGCACGGGTCGAATACTAGTTTATTATAATAATGACGAGTGAACTTGATGATGATGATGATGATGATGCTTTCACAAAAATTACAAAAACTAATTTATTTATTGCTATTCATTTTATAAATACAAAGATTCATATGTAAGTTCTACAAATTTGTATTTATATAGTTTATTTTTACTAATTTTCATGATTCTAAAATGAGATATACTCATCATATAACTCATAATTTTAAATGTTAGATACATACAAATACTGTATAATATTTTATTTGTATTTGTGCTAAGTGTAACCAGTGAATTCATCCTCAATTATTTATTTGTTTTATAAATAAGAACTAGTTAGTTATTGATGATTATTAGGTCAACATAATTTTCGACTGAGGATTATTGAGAGAATATTATATTATCTCGTGTTGTCACCAATAGCCATCCATGGGCTGACATCACTACAATTTTAAATAATTACATCAATTCAAAATAAAAAAATGCAAGTCCCCAGTCCAAACTAGGTGGCCCATTTATTAATTAATATAGGCCCAGTCCACTCAAAGTCTCTCTCCTTGATTGCCATCCGGCTCATATTAAGGCTATGTTTGGTAAAACTAGTTGATAAGCTAGCTTATAGCTTGTGTAATTTTCGAACTTATAGCTTATAGCTTATGACTTATAGCTGAAAAGCTAGCTTATATGATAAAAGTGTTTGGTAAAATTAGCTGATAAGTTAGCTGGAATAAAAAATTCAACTAGCTTATTTGAAAAGCTACCTAAACAAGCTTATCAAATAAGCTCGAGCTTTTTAAATAAGCTCATCCTACCAAACGGGGCTTATTTGAATACAAGAAGCTTATAAGCTAACCAAATAAACTATAAGCTAGCTTATTTGGTTTACCAAACATAGCCTAAACCCTTCCCCCATCTCCTGAAAACCCTCCAATCACACATCTCACTTCCCCCGATCTCTCCATGGCTGATTTACCGGTTCTTGGTGATTATACAGTGCAATAACATGATATTATTATCATGCAAGTTGCAAAGTATGTTGCAGTGTGTGAGCTTTTGTGGACATTCTTCTTAAAACTTTACAAATCTTTTTAGATGATATGATATCGCCCAATTGCTTAAGGTCGATTAGCTTTTTATTTGGTTCTTGGGTAGAATACATCCATGGAAGCAGAAATTTTCTTATATTGTGGTTCCATTTCAACATTCTTCAAATGGCGCCGGATGTATTTGGTTCTTTGTCAAATGTGGGAGCCATGGTTGGTGCATATAGCCAGTGGCCAGATCGCCGAGTACATTCGAGCATAACAAACAACCTGTGGTAAAAAATGATTGATCATGAGTTTGAACTCAATTTATTAGCAAAATTACTGGAGACTTAAAGATCCTAATTGACCAGTTGTTTGTATAATAATTCATCACTTGCTAGTTGTAAATAGTTCCATCATGTTGCAATCACGTGTAAACACATAAAAACATTGTTGAACCGAAGCCCACATAAGTTCACTAGTACAGTACATAATAAAGCGCCTGTATCTGCATACTGCAAGCAACATAATCCAGATACTAGTATTAAACATAATTTTCATAAATCAACTCAACAAGTTCAATCTCCAGTGTCTGCATCCAAAAAAGTAGGCAGCGAGCTTGGCTCCCAGGAAACGAGATTCAAATCTGTTTCTCCCGAGCCAGCCTCGTGAGATGCAGGGTATTATCATGCCAATGATGGTATTAGCAAACAATTATCATGTTTAAGGCATATTATTACTATATTTCAACATAGATTAAGAATTAAAGACAAAAATAAGTATTAAGGACGATTCAAGAAAAAATAAATATAAGCTGTTTAGTATTGATTTGACAGAATTCCACCATAGATAAAGAAAACTGAGCTGTGGCCTTGTCTACTTCCATAACATTTTTGCTAACATTTCAGAGGAGGGATCGCGCACAAACAACAAAAAATCAGCTTAACACAAACT